GACATGTCGGTTACTAACAGCAAAATTAATGTAAAATACTTTGATCATTTATATCCATTGAAAAAATAGCACTTACATTTGCTAAAAAAAACTCAAAACGTAACTGGACGTACACCTGAATGACAAAGAGGCATCCCTGTTACAGCTAAACCAGGTGATTTAAATGCCATTTAAAAAAATCTAGCAATATTTGATACAGACAATACATGATCATACTTGTACAGCTAAACCTAGATAATTAATACAAGCAAATTGCCTAAATGGCATTTAGCACATGAACTGGATACACACATAACATAAATAAACACTGAAAACTGAAGTATAACGATTTTTCACTAAAATTAATTTACATAAGGAATACATGTGCATGTATCATAATATTTTGTATATGTATATTTCACTAAACGAACATTGTTCTTTGGTTCAGAATGAATTAAAAAACATTCTGATATGTTAGAGTTATTGATACAACTGCTTTTTTCCGTTCTTGTTTTATATTTGATAATACAATATCACTGAGGTTTTTGAAAATTAATTGCCGCTTCAGGTCAACAATTAATTGTATATAAACGTTTTTCTTCAATAATCATAAAATCATAATAAAAATGGCTCATTATATGTGTTTGTAAATAGCAGAATATTCATGATTACGTAAGTATACAAATAAAAACCCATTGTTCACTGTCACTAAATTTTGGTTTTAAAACACATTAAATTTGGCTGTCAGTGTCAGTCTGCATGGGCATGTCTTCCAAGAATTTACTTTCGGTTAAGCGGGGTTTGAGTGGTCCAATGGTCTACGGCGTGTATTTCAGATCATAAGGTCTGTCATTGAGTCAAGTGCTGTTGTTTTGATTTCCCGCTTGTACGTGAAATCGCCAGGTCAACGTCGAGGGTTTTCTCTGGTTCCTCAGGTTGTTGAATTAGAATTGCGCTATATATTAGTCCCAAAATGTACGAATTTGTGGCTCGTATGTCTTATATGAATATTGGGACTACACTCTATGTATAACTCGCACATAGACACATTTGTGTTGGAATAAGGTGAAGTTTCTCACTACGGAAGAGTTATGCAGCTGTTTGCACAGACAGTTGCAGTTGAAGACGTATGCAGCTGTTTACACATATAGTGGCCGATAGAGGCGCGTGCATATGATGTAATCTTGTCAGTTTCAGAATGAAACTCCTGATTCACTTCTGTTTCAATACTGGATTGTTGCTAGGTTATATGCTGCTGAATTTCATAGTCTAAAGGTGTGGAACCCGGGTACTGGCATCTGTCGTGCGTAATGTAGTGTTTGCTCCAATGCTTATCTCGATTGCTGGACCCCTGTTCCGGCTGCTGAAGCGATTTCGTGGTTAGATCTTGATGTAGTATGGGCTAACGAAAGCTTGGGTTAGGAATTGGTACGGCATAGAAAAGCGCGTTTTTATTATATTTAATGCTTCGGACATGACCACTAGAAGTGTATTGTTGATTAACCTATTCTCTTGCTAATTGTACTCTCGCTTTTAATGAATATTTTTTGAATAATTTACGAGAATTCGGTTACAGTCAGTGCTTACATATTGTCACAGCTAAGTAATGTGTTATGAGTTTATCCCAGTATTGTGCTTTTCATATAGGAAAATGTGTTTATATTTTTATGAATATAGCGTAATCAATACGCGAAATGGTTTCAGTCAATTATCATACTACACTGTATGATTGGTCCTGAGTGTCCTTTTCATTGCATAGCGACATAAACCTTTAAGGCCAAAGCCATTATTTTAATGCTTTGAGATCAGTATATATCGCCACGTGTGAGCGAAATCCCTTGTTCTTTAATTTTAAAATTTGGAACTAAAGGATTTTGGTAAGCGCAAGTATATACATATATTGTTCTTATTAATATAGGAATCAATATTTTAATAGGTTTTCCTCGAAAAACTAATATTCAAATTGGCGAAGCCTTAACTTGATTTGTAAACAAACAGTCTTATATATCTTATATGTTTATGTACATCTTGAGGAAGAAGTCAAATTAACTGGAAGTATTTTTTTTTTCAAATTTATTTATTCACCAATTGTCAACGGTCAACAAAGGTAGTTTAATCATTGAAATAATAATCAGTAATTTAACATCCACAATGGATTTTCTTACTGTTTCACAAGACGTTGTGGTGCCGGCACTCCGGTTGTATTCAGCTGTAAGTACAAAAGAATATAATATTAGAACTCTTTCGTTTTATAAAAGATTAAAAATATATTGCTTTGTTATGGTATATGATCCCGTAGATAACTTTTCTTGCCTATATGACAAAAAGAAAAAAAACAACAAATTTTAATTGCATGTATAAATATTTTTTAAAGGAGATCTGTATTTAATTATAATAGAAAGGGCGAGACTTTATTATCTTATTTATGGTATAATTAAATCAGGATTACATCCTTGATAATAAAAATAAACAAAATCCATGAGTGTAATCAACTTTATTGTCTTATTTATGGTATAATTAAATCAGGATTACATCCTTGATAATAAAAATAAATAAAATCCATAAGGGTAATCAACTGTATTGTCTTATTTATGGTATAATTAAATCAGGATTACATTCTTGATAATAAAAATAAATAAAATCCATTTGGGTAATCAAAGAGTTGGTTGGTGATTACAGTAGTTCATGATGGTTAAGAGTTAAAAAAGTATTTCTTGGAAAAAATTGGGCTAATTTTGTTGATTGCATGGTGCAGTTGTGGTGAATTACAAAAGTAGAATGTTTCTACAAATAATGCGTCGTGTTCGTCTATACCTCTTAAATTTTTAAGATTCGTTGGATCTGCCCAGGTTTCGACTTCCACGTGATTTTCAGTTGTAGGAGACGCAGCTGATATAAGGAGACATAAATAAGAGAGAGAGAGAGAGAGAGAGAGAGAGAGAGAGAGAGAGAAATGGGGTTTAACGTCCACTCGACACAAACTAGGTCATTTCGGGACTAACATATGGTTTAATTTTATTTCAATAATTCGCTTGCGCGTAGGGGTCTTTAGCAGTGGGAGGAAACCGGAGGACCCGGAGAAAACCCACGAGGTTGGACAGGCGACCCTACTCCTTGTCACGTACAACCGGGGATTCGAAACCACGTCAGTTGACTCAATGACAGGCCTTATGATACAGCGCGCACGTGCTAACCATTCGGCCATCCAACCCCCCAGACATAAATAAACTGTGTACAAATAAGAAGTGTGCGTAAAAGATCCAGTGGCAGGCGGAACTCAACTAGCTTAGCCGTTTCTCCTAAAATATAAGTAGCAACAATGACTATGAGAGAAGCTAAAGCCGCGAAATCCATACCCCTCTATCGATACTTAGTTAAATGTAGTGACGGGAGTCAAGAAGGCCCATTTCCAAAGTAGGTGTTTTGCATGTGTACTGATAATCGCCCAAAAAATATTTAAAAAGTTAAATCATATGTACATGACGTCATACGCGAGGATTTCTCTTTACAGTGTGGATGCCGACATTGTTTTTTTTTCAATCGCCGGCTTTTTGAATAACATTAACACACATCAAGTCAAAAAGATCTACATTTTCAACATGCAATTCGAGAATAAAAGCTACAAAAAGTTGCCCTTTTAAGCGCACGTATTCTCGCTCGAGGAAACGCGTACATGGAGAATGTCCCATTACATTAGACTGACCTTTTCGTAGGTAAAAGGCGTACATGGAAAGCGGGGCTAAGTCGGACAGAGTGATTTAATTGGGATTTGTCTCGATCATTTCTTTTTGCCTTGTTTTTTTTTTTAAAAAGATAACACCGTTTATTGAGTAAAATGTAGGGACTCAATGTATATATCACTCTTCCAATGGTCCCGAACTAGTGTACTAATTGGCTATTCCATCGACTGGCCCGAGTGAGCGAAATCAAACCACCTTGCACTGAACTACCACTTCGGACCAGTACCGACACTATTTTCCATAGAAATGGGTTGCACTCGCCACAAACTGGGTCATTTCGGTACTAACATGATATTGTACAATTTCATTTCAATAATTAGTTTGTAAGAATGGGTCTTTATCAGCAGGAGGAAACCGTCGAGTCAACACAAACTAGGTCATTTTGGTTGACACCACGCCATATGATCTAAACTCTGGGCGTTAGGCCATATGGCAACCCCACCCCACCGCTTGTAATTAGAAATTCCAGGTCTTTGCCTTAAAGACGCAAAGATCAATTAATAAAGTAAATAATCTGTCATAGACTAATGTTGACAGGTGGTACTGACTTATTACCTTTAATCTAATACAAACTATAGGTTAGATAAGTTCCATAGCTCATTAGTATTTATTGATCTTTAGGGCGTGAACAAAAGAAACCCAGAAAAACATAGGCTTAGTGAATAGCTGGCTATTAAAAGCACTCATTCCTTCAGCTAAACACAACGGATCTATCATGGTCTGGGTCTTAATGCATCCGATACTTAGATTGTTTTTGTTAAGCTAGGAAATGTTGGCTAATTGTGTTTAAACTTATTTAACTTCTATTTAAAGTGGTTCATCGCTTGGATTTAATGGTGTTACAGATTTTTACAAATGTTTTAAAAGTATAGGCATTTTGATGTGTCAGTATCTCTCTCTATACGGCGATTCAGTGACTTCCTGTGTCATATACTTTGATCAAAGAGCAAAGGCGATTGAAAGTAAAAAATAAATCATACAACACTGTCCGCGTGGAATATCGACAAATTGAGTAGCACTTTCTAGTTGTCCTAATGGACTAGATAGGAATACATCAAAACGACAATATCTGTGAGCAATGCAAGTGTTAATATAGGATGATTACTCAACAATATTGTTTACATTGTTAAGACTATTAGTGCCTCTATACATTATCGTAGTCCAATATATATTAGAAGTACATAACAGCGCATAATGGATAAAAAACGGACAAATGCAGGTGTTAGTCGCACCAGAACAGCTAAAGGCAGTAATTTATTTGGTGTAATTTCTCGTATAAAGGTAGATATGCCGATGAGTGGAAGGAACAAAGTTTGGAGAAGACGAAATGGATCCCATCGCTACAGCTTTATGTCAAATGCCAGTCAGGAGTCACTGAAAACGGTAGGAGTTTTTTTTTACTAAACTTATTTCAGTTAGTAGAGTACATTGTAACGTTTCAGTGATGAACATTTAAATTCCCATGGCAATTTCCTATTGTCTCTCACCATAACTACATTCTCTTATCCCATGTCTCTGATGGCAACTTTTAGACCTGGATTATTCAAATACCTATTACTGTTACATTGGAAATAAGTATCTGCTTTGAGTACAACGGCGAGCCATGGTAGTATTTAGGAATATCACTTCTAGATAATCAGAGACAGTTCTGGTGGGACAAACAGCTGAGGTCCTGCTCATGAAAAAACCTCGACAGCCGAAATTCGAAATAAGAGAAGATCGTAGCACCACTTTCTCGTCCAAACTTCTTTCATATCACACTGCATGGCATATGGCTGTCTTCATTAGCCCGGTTGGTATAGAAACGTAGGGCGTTCAACCCCGTTTAATTTCATTTCCTGTCTGAATCTTATAGGGGGGTTGGATGGCCGAATTGTTAGCACGAGCTCCCTGTATTATAAGGTCTGACATTGAGTCAACTGGCGGAATTTCGATTCCAACCCCGTGGGTTTTCTCCGGTCCTCCGGTTTCCTCCCACTGCTAAAGACGCCTACGCGCAAGCGAATTATTGAAATAAAATTCAACCATGTGTTAGTCCCGAAATGACCTGGTTTGTGTCGAGTGGACGTTACCCCCCCCCCCTCTCTCTCTCTCTGTTGCTTATAGGTGCATTTCTGGCTTCATATATTATATAAATTATTATTTAGAACTTTATTCACACGACAAGCCCATAATCATCTCTCTAGAGCATCGGGTGGTTGAGATATTGAATGGATTAAATCACCATAGTTTATCGTTAATATCAACTCGACGTCACTAAATCAAGGGACTGACAATCAGGGATCCGTTTACTATCATGGCATTGGCACTTGCCAATAGGCTATTTCTCTTCAAAACTTCAAACACTCAGAATAAAGTAATGTAACAGAAACTTTCAATATATTCATTTTTCTTTATCTATTTTTAAACTGACTATCCCCTTTTCTAAATCTTACATAATACATCTTTAACTAAATACATTTTTAGTAACCCAAAATATTTCTCTACACTAAATGATAACTCGTTATTGTATATATGTTATGAAACATGTATATTATGTTTTTATTAATATTTATAATCAAGGGCATTTGAATAATAACCTATATAAATATTTGATATCCTGTCCGCTGTGGCTCTTATAATTTATTAGTTTGTTTTACTGTCAACATATCATCGTACAGACAGTGAGCAGCTTGGGCTTTGAGTAATTTCCCAATTTCTACATAAACCGTTTATGGCAGCCTTTGAGTGAGTATGACGCTGGCTCGCTAACCAGGGGATTCCTCTGGATTTGCAGTGTCTAATCATTCTGATGGGACGAAAAACCGAAGGTCCCGTATTGTTAGTTAGAACTTGATATAACAGTAGGTTATAGTGCCGCTATCTGGGCAGAATTTTCCTTATAGCACACTGACTGACGTACGCCCGACTTCATTAGCCCAGTCCTAGCAGAGAAGTAGGGAGTTAAATCCCATGTCATTACGCTCGCCAGCACCATTTGTAATGGAGCGCATTGATGAACGAGGTTAAACCGTCGACTGACCTGGCTAAAGAATAACCATTTAGCCCTTTAAAGTTATCTCAGTTATAATGTTAATACTCTAACGACACACGAAAGCAGACGTTTCACATAAATCCCAAAAGTATAACAAATATTACTAACTTAATGTTGAGATTGTTGTGTTTGTAAATTAAGCATATACTAAAGCGACAATAATCCTCCACGAAAAGGATTTTGGCTTGCACGAAATCGCTAGCAGAATTATTAGTGCTTTATGTACCAGAGATGTGAATGGCGATGCGAATCTAATAGAAACCAGTGTAAACTTTAAATGACCATAACTTTAGCTGAATATCTTGTGGGCCGAACTTCCAACATGTGAAAGAGAACAACAAAAACAATTTCATGATTTCAATTAAACACAAATAGAGGGAGGGCGGTGTTATCTAGTAAGTAAGGTGGAAGATTAAAACCAAAAATGTGGGCTATGTAATATCTTGACGTTGATGTAAGTTGATACAAATTAAACAAGTTGGGACTTTAATTAATATCTATTTCTAAGACAAAGCTAACACTATTATCCATCCATCTTTATAACGTATTAGATTTGTATCGGTGTACACCAAGCTCAAAATATCAGAGGATGAAGAGATAACAAATTATATATCATGCTTACGGCGTTTTCAATATTGCTTTCATACAGCAGACTCTTTAAATAAATTATTTTTAAACTTTTTACACACACTATAGGGGTCGATCAAACATGTAAACTGCAGACATTACAGATACACTGAAGAATGTCGCAAGATAATGATTACATTGTTAAATATTTCAATGAACATGCGAACATGAATCATTTCAATTATTTATTCAACTGATTTCCTCATTGTTCTCTAGTGATTATCATTTTCTAAACACCCTAGTCGATACCTTGGTAAAAGAGGCATTATATGAGACATTTAGAAAAAAGAGCTAATCGTTCTTGCTATAATTGTTCAAAAATACATATGTTGAAAATTTCAGTCAAAATATTTTATATTCTGAGCGAAGTTATAAGAATGGCTACTTTCATCGAGTTCCGGACAGCGGTTGCAATTAAATCCAAATAAGACTTTTGATATATAAGAATAGAAATATGTGTATAACTCTATTGTCGGACTTTTTTCCGGCGTGTTGTCCTTCATTTCGCCAAACAAATCGACATGGCCAGTTATGTAAGCTTTTAACGCATTATGATGGACATCGTCTTATCCACTAATTATATAAGCCATCCGATGACATAGAGAGTTGATTATTACTAGTTTTCGAAAAACATTCCAGAGCACATCACTGTTGTAACCATTGGTTATTATGAACGATTTTTATACGCCCACATGTTATGCCCTTTTTTGTCGAAACCTGTCAACACTGCGGGCAATGCTTGTAAGTGCTATAGAGGCCTGGGTCCTTATTCACGAAAACTTAAACTAAATTACAACCGAAATTTTAAGAAATACTGCAACTTCATTGGATATATGCAAATTGATTTTACTGGTCAGCCAATCAAATTGCAGTATTTCTTAAAATTTCGATTGTATCTTAGTTTAAGTATTCGTGAATAAGGGCCCAGATTTTTCATCAGATGCTTCCGGAACATTCAGGGCGCTTGTATTATGATAGGATGGAGATCTCTATTTCTTTTCGTTAAAATCGGAGATCCCCCTTTTTTGCCGAAACCTATCCACACCCCTTGTAATGCATATCAGCGCAATAGAGTCCAGAGTTTTTATCAGATTTTCTGAAAATATGTAAGGAAGATTGTATTATAAGACGAGGACCATATTTCTTTTCGTCAAAATCTGATAAGTATTTTTAAGAGTTATGCCACTTTTTACCAAATCGTCTCCACACTGTTGGCAATGCTTGTCAGCTCGATAAAATCCAGAGTTTGATACGCACGTTAATGTGGACGCATATTGTAATTTAAGGATCTTTTTCAAATTCGACATCGATATTCATAATCTACAGCCTTCCAACACTAAGTCATCCTCCTTTGCCGAAAACCTTGTGAACAAGACAGAAGCTATCGGTTTGAATAGATTTCTTTTTTTCAAGATTGGTAGGAAGCAATGGGGTCATAAGAGGTTGAACCATGGGATTTAGATTTCTCCAAGGATCCCAGATCCTTATCAGATTTACTCAACATCAACGTTTTCATTTCGGATAAGCTGCAGTTGAGACAAGGCTGCTGTGTACGGGTATCCCACGCCTTGGATGTCTAACTTAAATATTTACAAACACAATTCACCCTTTATTAATGGATCTTTTTTAGATCTAAGATCATCTCCACTGACATAATACTGGATGTCTAAATTAAATATTTACAAACACAATTCACCCTTTTTTAATGGATCTTCTATAGATCTAAGATCATCTCCGCTGATATAATACTGTTATCGGAAAAATAAAAAGTGCTTACGAGCATGAGACATGAAATTAGAGGGTCAAATTATCAGATAGTTTCAATAAGAGGTGCGTGGCTTTGGTGCATAATGTGTAAAATAAAACAATTTTCATGCACATCCCCCTTTTATGTCTTCGATTTGGTGCTTTTGGTGATTCTTGTGTCCATTAAATTTTTACACTCGTTTTCCCAACACCAAATGTATGTGTTTTAGACGATATAGTAATGGTAATTCTGCCGTCATTATATCACGATATATAGAGAGGCATAACATAATATCAATGTTTTATGCCATAGACTGAGGATTTTATGAACAGATTAATATAACATGGCATTCAACATACCGCCAATGTTCTGTGCGATGTCGTTATTAAATTATCAAAAGGATATCAATTAATAGAAGTACAAATTAATGTGTTTGTAAATAAAGATAATAGAACTAATCTATTTACGGTTTGTGAACATACAGAGATGAAATCGATATAGTAAACAAAGTGTAAGTTGATTTTACGAACCTAATCATAATCTCTTTGAATCTGTTGTGAAATATAATGTGCCGATTTTATTAACTTTACTGTTTCAATATAAATAATAAAATATCATCGATCAAATATAAGTACAACAAAAACAGTCAGTGTATATTAACAGCGGGCGCGCGTTTAAAGGTGAACTGGAGAAAAACGTATTTAAGATGAAGAAAAATCAAAAGCTATGTAAAAAGCTAAATTGCTTAAAAAATTCATCATGGAAATTCTTGTTGATGCTGAAGTCACCGACTTTATTATTCCTGATAGGATGCAAATACCCCCCCCCCCCAAAGCCAAAGTACATATGTATCTCTTATAGGCATCGGGGATGGTCCAAGGAACATTTACTGATGCTTCGGCTATGGTCACAAAGCTTCTGTGAATCTCCCCCGAGCAATTGCCGTAAATCATCCGTGATGGCTCACAATAATCGGAAGAGCTCCGAGGTACCTTGGCAGATAATCAACATCATCGTGTGAATATTCTTGCTGTGCGAGATCTAAGTCTCTTGCGTGATGGCATATCGGCGGAATTTATACCTAGGTTCCACTGGTCATTTTTGCCTCGGCGATGTACTACCGAAATTGATGAGCCTCGGGTGAGGTCGGGGGCGTTGCGAACCATGAGGAAGCACACGGAAGCCTCGGGGAAACTGTAATCTTTGCATTGATTGAAATTTTTTCCCAATGTGTTCCCGATGTTTATTGGGAAACGGGCCCGGGCATCCCTGGAGTATTCCAGATCCCCGGGCAAGTTCTGGGGATGTTTGGGGAGCTTCCGCGAAATATTCTTTCCCCGAGGTATCTCCGATTCAAATATCGACAAAGGTTCCTTGATACTTCTGCGAGACATCGCCAATGCTTCGCGGAAGCTCCAGTAAAGCAAATTTGTATCTAGTTTCCTTGATCTTATATGTGCCATGTCAAACAACAAATATAATATATTTATAATTCAAATATAATTTTTAATATCAACGGCAATATGAATCGTGACACAAACGCCTGATATATGTTTGACCTGTAATGAAAGAGATATTAAATTTGTATCTAATTTCCTTGGTCTTATATGTGAATCTTATATGTAACATGTCACAGCAAATATAATATATTTATAATTCAAATATAAATATAAATCGTGACACAAACTCCTGACATATGTAATGGTTGTGAAAGAGATCGAAATATTTTGTTCTGTTAATTCACTGCCATCAATATTAGGTAAAATATTATTATACGATCGTTTAAAGTCGCAATATTGTTTTTGAAACCGTATAGCACCATGAGCCTTCTGTCTGACGTGGAGAGCGGGAATATGTCGGAAACCGGTCGCTACATCCAACGTACGACCCATGCATCTTTCCTTACTACATATTTCTGTAGCCTTGTGATCGTCTAGAATTTGTCTCTAGCTGTCTTTACTTCTGCTTCACGTTGTGTATTTACTTCTTAATGGTTTTCTTAAGACGTTTGTCTTAACAGGAATAACAATGCAATATTTCGCTTCTACATTTCATATAGCATATAACTGAATACAGGTATACAAGCATAGCACAAATTACAATACTATATAGCTAAAACCACTTCTCCATCCTATCCAGCCTCTCGGCTGTCTAGGAACTCAGATGTACCCTCGATCTCTGGAATCTAATGCAAGTCTGACTTACAGGGTTCCCCGGTTTCTTTTAAAGGTAAATGAATATCATGCACAATAACGCGTGATCATGGCCCTGAACTTGTGTAATTAACAAAATGATTGGTTACTTTAAATCAAATGATGCAATTAGAATAATTCCACTCACGTGTAATTCTGGTTGGAAATAATTGACATATGTTTTCGATAAAGAGCTCTTTTTTATATGTCAACTGTCAATTTAAGTTCATTTAGTGCACACTATATATGTGAATATGTTTGAAATTACTAACTTGCCAAAGATATTAATTAATGAAATATAAAGCCATCTTATTTCAATAGCAAAAATTCTAGCAATATTATTACAACCGCATCTAGTTTTGCATTGTTAAAACATACTGTAATACGCTCACCTGAAAACCTACATATAATTATGGGGGCCGCGGTGTTTCAGTGAGTAAGACGTTGGCTCGTTAAGCAAAAGGTCCCGTGTTCGATCCCTGCGTTGGCCAAGAAAGTTCATCGGGATTTTTCGACGTGGCTCCTCCTTGTCAGTGGTGCAGCACCGAGGGTCGGGTGGGACGAAACGCTGAGGTCCAGTACACACGTTAGCGTGCACATTTAAAATCCCCTTGCAGTTTGAATTCGATATATGAGTAGACCTTAGCGCACAATTTCACCTCATAGCACGCTGTATGCCGTATGTCCGTCTTCATTAGCCCAGTTGGAGCAGAACTGTAGGATGTTAAACCCCATTGTAACATCTGCAAACTTCCATATATCTTAGACTCAACCATTTTAAAGTCTATTATATTTAAATTAACTGGAAAACAAAAGAACATTAAGTACAGTAAGTGTGCTAATTTGGAATTAAATAACGGGACATTTTCGAATATTGCAAGTAACGATTAACTTAATTTGCATAATCAATTGATAGGACATAGATGGCAAAAACATATTCCTACTTGAATAGACTCACTACCACTTTAAACCCGGTATTGAACTTTTAAAACCGTTTGAATTATAATTAAATGTTCGTGTATTCTCCAGATCAGACACGGGTAGTATTTCATACTCACGTGGTATGCGTCTGAATTTTAATGATAATTTACTCTAAACATCAGAAGATTTCTACTTAGACATGTATGTATATTCAGCAGTAATGATTTTCGTTTAGTCAAATGTAGTTAAATACACGGTTATTATATTATTATGAGAAACACAGAAATCTTCGGTGGGCGTTAACATGCAATGATTGATTTGTACATTTAATCAGGATTTTAAGGTGATGAAAACAAGAATGCTCAGTTTCAGTATACTCACGCTAAAATTGAATGGGTGATTTGTACAGTTTAAAAGGATTTTACGGGTGATATAAACGGGAATTTTTTTTAAGATTTAAAAAGGAACGTATTGATACAATTGTCTTTGATATCACTTACATTTGCTTTATTACATGTATTGTGATGGAATCACATGTTTGAAGGTAACTCTATCATTTGTGATGTGGTTGTCTTTTACAGGCAGGAGTTATATTAACTTAAACTTATAGACACAATATGTATGTTTAGGATATAGTTATGCAGCTTCTAAAAGGATATAGTTTCAAACATTACTCCTCAACTGACAATTCAAGTGGAGGGGCATTGACTGTGGCGTAAAATATGCAAGGTCCTTATTTATCGGTTTACGCATATATAGCCACATCAAATCAATCTACCGGTCAATGGATAGAGCTATTCGAGAGATAAATGATAAATGTGTTACTAATCTTGTGATCAATCAATCCATGGCATTATCAATGGACGCTGATTGGGCGTTTGTAAGGAAAATATTTAAAAATCGTCATAACATTCCAGTGGAAGTAAGTATGACTTGGCGTTTATAGAAAATGTAGCGCATACCCCAAATTTCTTTCCTTGAAATGCTGACTTTAACAACGAAAGTACACACAGTTTCCAAAAGGTTTTTGTTTATAGATATTATTTAATCGCGAAAAACTCCCCAGTGAAGCTATTGAAAAATATTCTGAACTGTTAGTAATTTCCCGTGTCTATTTTCGCTTTCATAATTCTTTTGGCTGATTACCCGATTTGGGGTTTCAGAAAGATATCTGTGCTGTCATCATAATCAGACTGCTGTCCACACACTCTTGTAAACAATATTGGGGGAAATAATATCAAATATATAATACGTTAACCGTCTGCTTCCATTAATATAATAGTAGACGACAGTTTACAATTAATGCCATAGCCCAGGCTGTGTTGTTTTTTTTTTGGGGGGGGGGGCGGTGGTTGTCAATGAAATAAAATGGGGTTTAACGTCTTACTTTTCTGCTCCGAACTGGGCTAATGAAGACGGACATACGCCATACAGTGTGCTATGAGGGAAATTTTGCCCGGACAGCGGCACTACGACCTACTCTTATATCGAATTCCAACTGGCAAGGGATCTTTAACGTGCACGCCTATGTGTACACGGACCCCGTCCCGTACGAACGACTAGACAGCTGTCCTTATCAGGCCCTCTGTCCTGCATCACGGACAAGGGGGTACCTCGCCGGAACATCTGGATGAACTTTCTCGGCTAATACAGAGATCAAACACCCAATCTCCGGGCTAGCGAGCCAGGGTTACCCACTTAGTCACCGTGACCCCAAACGTCGATCCAATAACCAATGTGAAATACAAAATAGCAAATACATAATACATAAGTGATTCAAGATTCATGCAGGACTAATTAAACCCAATATAAATTCAAAATGCATAGTTTATCATTTAAACGAATTTCCCAAATGTGAAATGGCGCTCCCGTTCACATTGCAAAAGAAAAATATTATCAAATGTTATGTTCTCGTTAAGTGATATACCAACCTTGTTTTAATCTGATTTGACATTTTGTTTAATTTGTTTTTATTATATGTTGTAAAGAGTTTACTCTGAGAGATCTATACCTGTTATTTTTCAATTACTTTGTTTAAATTGCCGTTTTTCTTTTCTGTTCCAGTTTGCTGATGCAGAAGAAGAATTTCTCCATGCGGCGGAATTTGGTGACATACCGGGGGTAAAACGGTTGTTAAATGAGTTCCCCGATTTAAATATAGATTGCATTGATGCACTCGGGCGGACAGCTCTCCGACTTGCTGTTAAAAATGAACATTTGGAGGTAGGTCGATTTAAAACGAACTTCACAAATAGCAATATTGCAAAATTCACAGTACAGGCATATAATACTTATTTATATTTACATGATGATGGAAATTTATTAAAATAATTAAATGGAAATTTATGAAAATAATTAAATGGAAATTTGTGAAAATAATTAAATGGAAATTGGAAACTTGTGAAGATAATAATATAATTTCAGTCATAGCAGAGGCAATTATGTTGAGTCTTTTCGTAACCCCGTTTGTGACTTTATTTCTAATGAAATATACCTTCTGTATCAGTCAGTCGCCTACGTTCGAATATCAACACCAACCGCACATATTTAATTAGCTTGCAGCACTCTGATTGGTAGGGTGCCCCGTGCAGCGAAAATTTTCCCTACAGAAAGTTGAACTTGACACGGCGAATGTGCACGCTTCAGTGGCTTGTCTCGAAGTGATTTCTGGCTAACCACACAGTACGATAATACTCGGCGCTAGAGTCTGTGAGACTATAAATAGCCATCGCACTTGCAATTCTCCACACATCTATCAACTATTACAGCCGTAAAAAAATCTATTGTTGACGATTCTGAATAGCAGTAAAATTTAGCTTTTTGGTTATTACAGCAACGTTAGAAAATAACGTTTGTTTTATTTTTTATATTGTTTTATCATTAACTGTACCGTTAGGAGCGGCATCTTTTGGTTTATTACAAATTTAATAATATCTCTGAAACACTAGGGTTAGGCAAGAACATGATACTAGCAGTAGTTTCATTTTACTTTTACAATGTTCTTTATTAAAACAATTGTTGAGTTGCCTAACGTGAGTGTTTCTAAATTCAATGTCTTGTTCCGCTTTCCGTTATGTTTCGTAAAAAACTAGTCCTGATTATCCCGGCCTGTCAAACAGACGTAGAATGGTCGGTAGACTGGTTAAGGGAGACTGATTTCAAAACAAGGGCACGTAACCTATTTTTTACTCAAAGGTGCTCGGATATTATGGCCGACACTCGTAACCATCTTTCAGTCTATTAAATGGTCATAGCTTATTAAGTACAACATGACCGTTTATTTAGTGACTATATATATATGCGAAACTGATTTAATGCTTGGTACATATATATATATATATATAAATATTGTTGTGTAATTGTCGAGATATTTGGAGATATTAATTTATGGTGGGGCACCCTATGATTGGTCTATCCTTTTAAATGCAATACCTTTACCAAACAATAGCCACATCTGTGCATGTTTAATTACACTAATGCTATTTGATTCGCAAATGTTAATTACAATGGGTATTCTGTAAATCCCTCCTTCGTATGGGTTGAACTGAACGGACGAGAAGATACTTGACTGGAGCACAACTATTCTCTGTAAAATAATGGCAACATATCTTTGTTCACTTATGATTTGCCATATAGCCATGTTAGGCGCCTCCATATTTGGGGCTAACGTATCTTTTATTTCGCCATGACATTTATAGCATTAACATTTAGTTATTATATATATAATTTCAGTTTTGAAACGGACTTGTATTTTCATTGTTATATTGCTTACGTTCGATAATTTCTATTCCATATGAACTGAATTTACAAAACCTATAAATTGCATTTTCGGCTTTGAAATACCATATAACTACCATGACCTGGGAATAGATATATGAAGGAAGTGGGAACTACGATCAGAATTTGCATAACGTGATACCAAACAAATTCTTGGATTTGGTGTGTGGTGGCTTATTAGAGCAAAAATTGGTACTCTAACTCAATATCATCCCAAGTCTTCGAGATTGAAAACACGAATTATATGTCAATTTAAATTAACATTGATGTTGTGGTCTTACCGGGAAAAGATGGGCTTCTGGTATCCAATATTTAAGACAATATAAACATATCGTGTACCATAATGCCTTTCAACGCCATTTAGTAGCAAAAGAACTCGAAGGACGAGGTTAGACATATTCCACAAGTCATGTCAAACGGTGACGCCACATTCTTATGTGGAGCGCATTAGCAATAATTGCCATCGGTGTAGACTGGAATAACCAGACGCTAGAGACTGCCATTCGATTGACACTGTTGATTAGAAATTACAGTAAAAACGGAAACGATTGAATGTAAATATCAATTTATATACATTCAAATTACATTATTATATGCGTTGCGACTCATTTGTGTCAATTTCTAGGTCCCAAATATTAGCGATTTAGCTCCTATAAATAACTGATGTTTAATGTGAATTTAATCTAACAATCTACAATATTATGTCGTTCTACACATACCAACTGTGTCCTGAGATGACAATTAACATTTTCTTGACATGGTTTAAAGATATACTATCGATAAAGGTCCCTAAAAGGACATATATGTAGTACGAGATAATTCGAAGAATTATGAAGGCGCTACTATCCCTTTATTATTTTTCTCTCCCTTGGCGTTATAGTCAGCAATTTACCGTGTATTTGTAAAAAAAAAAAGATTATGATGTATTTATATAATACTATAGTAATCCATTAGTGCCGTCATTCAAAAACAAAATAATGATTATTTTCACTACTGTATTATTTATTGACAAAGTGACTCATGTGTATATATACATAAAACATGGCTTACTAATGTCTAATGTCTAATGTACACGTTTTGTTACGTATCATGATTACAGGACAATGACCAAATTTTCTAAAAAGAAAACAAAATCAGAAGCTAGTTAAGTTATCTGCCATATCAATCAATATAGCAGTTTCTAAAAAAGAAATAGGGTTTAACGTCCTACATTTCTACACCATCCGGGCCAATGAAAACGAACATACGCCATGTTGTGTGCCATGAAGGACATTTTGCCCAGACAACGTTGTTTCCGCCTACTCTTCATCGAATTCCAACTGTCAGGGTTCTTTTACATTCACCCTAACACGAAACGCGGGGCCTCGAATTTGTGTCCCATTCGCATGACTAGACACTGTTCCATAACAGGTCCACCGCCGCGCACAACTGGCAAGAGGATGCCGAGCTGTAAAATCCCCGGGTAATACAGTGTATTGCCCACTAAGGTCCGCCAAGGTAAACCGAGTTCTTCCGAGGTCAATCAAGAGGTGTAGGGTATCAACTACTCACTGCAATGTTATTTGTAAACAGATCGTCGACTCGACAAATGTAAGAGATATTACACGATGTACGCCATAATCGATATAAACGTTATAATAGTCAGCCATTGGTGGATTTCAAAAACGCCGTAGTTGAAGTATTTTTATGCAAGTAGGAAAACTCTTTGAATTAATTCTAAAACTTGGCATCGTTTAAGAAATATATCCTTATATAAGCCTCAACAGGGGACTGGCTTATGTTAGGTTCCCACTATCACGATTCGCGCTACGATTGAAATCGTGGTTTTAATCGTTGAGTAACCGTGGTGATCCTATCAAGTCTGATCATAATATATTGTGGCCAGTCGTAGCAATATTGTTGATCGTATCGAAACGTATCCGAACGTATCTGCACGTACCAGATCGTGGACTCAATAGGTACCATCGTAATGTATCACACGACAGTGTGACCCTAGCATTACAAAATATCATTTTGATGAATCATGTTGGAGTGATTTATCGTCGGCACGATTAATAGTCTTTACGTGCCTTAAACCAATCATGTCATTCGAATCAGTGACTAACCTTTAGCTGCCATCTTAAAACAACAAGTAAGGAAATGAATATGCAGGTGTTTGCGAAGTATTGATAACCTATACTGATACTCAGTGCACGTGTTACCATAATAGAAAATACCCATCATTACTGAAAAAGTCAAATATCGTGTGTTTTATGATACGTATAGTAGTGAAACCCTGTTCCATTACATTTTGGGCGTTTCCGGGGTGTACCTTGATGTCAGTGGAATTTTACCCTTTTCGATCATATGGAATACCTGCAGCACTTTTTGATAACCAATCAATTCTGATGTCTCCCTTGAAATGCTCTTTCTGGTGTATCACCTAAAATATCTAATAGCTAATCTTTAATATCCACCCTATTATGATAACTAGTTCGTTGGTCAACAGCTTTTAATTCACGATTATCATGGGTCTCTAAAGCTGCATTTTACAGCTGTCTGCTGGATAACCCAGTTGAATTTCCTGTCACCGCCTTGAGTTATATAATTAGCCCTAATTAATAACGTGTTTCGGTGATAGTTTTTACAAATCGCGTTTCATGTAATTAATGAATTTTATACCTATTACTAATGGTAAGTTCCCGCTGTCGTGCGTTGCTTTACGATAGGATTGTCCCTATTGAGTCCACGATCTGGTACGTGATGATACCTTTCGGATACGTTTCGATACGATTAACACGATTGCCACGAGTGACCTCAATATATGATAAGACCTAATATGATCACCACGATTACTCCACGATTAAAACCACGATTTCTATCGTAGCGCAAATCGTGATAGTGGGAACCTAGCATAACCAACTGATCTATTTACTATATAATTTATTAGGTTTTGGCCTACAAACTAAAATAACTATAAAATGACAACAACAAAACTATTTGATTACAGGGTTTTTAGCAACTGATACTCTGTTTCCGATATGAAAATAGTCATCGAATCCCATAACATGACGGAATATTTTCTGATTGCATGTTCTGCAGTAATTTTAGTTCAGTTTACAAATAGAAACCATCATATAAATCTGACTTGTAACATGCGCAGAGTGCTTGTTCTGCAGTAATTTTAGTTCAGTTTACAAATAGAAACCATCATATAAATCTGACTTGTAACATGCGCAGAGTGCTTGTTTTTTTTTAAGTGACGTAAAACATAACTCTTGATTCCAGGTTTCTATAAATATAACAAAATGAAGACGAAACCCGTTTTAATTAACGGGTTCTAATACAACACAAATCGCAACTGGGTTTAATTTCCCCGCGGTGTTTCAGATAGGTAGAGATAGATAGATGGATGATGGAGAGAGAGAGACTTGAGGCAAAATGTTTGGCTACCACACAGACATTTG